AAAAAAAAAAAAAAAAAAAAAAAAAAAAAAAAAACATACAGACGAATTGAGTACCTCCTTCTTTTGGGAAGTCGGTCAATAAAAGCAAAGATTACACATATCTTGTTGTAAACATTAAAAGACTTTTCGTGTGTGTTACATCGTCTTTAATATTACTTCGGTTCTTTTAGACATACATTTTTCCTCAAGTCAGTTGCTTATTTATCATTTTAAACCACATAAAGGTGCTTGGAGTCCTAAAGGCTTAAAAGATCTTCTTTATGTGTAGCTGGATTTGATAATGGGGTAAATAAATATAGACTGCAAAAGTTGTACAATCAAAGTATTCACTAATATTCTTTGTTTATTAGTACAAATTTTGCTTATAGTCAGTTTATTCCTACGTTTCTACCGTGTTTATTTGTAAGGTTGTAAGACGTAAACAGGACAGACGACGCTGGCGCTCTCTCGTGTCGGAGGCCAAGACCCACTTTGGGTCGCTGCGCCAACGCAGTAAGTAAGTAAGACGTAAACATACTGTAAAAAGGATACAAACAGGAAGGAGCACGCGAAGACAGCGAAAGGAAATAAAATAAAACTTACAATAAAAATTGATATAAAAGAGAAAATAATAATATACACAATACTAGCAACGTAGGGAGCTTTATTTGAAGAATAAAATATTTTTACAAAAAGAAAAGAATTCAAAAGTTATATTCTAATTTAAAAACCTATAAAAAAGTAAAGATCAATCTAAAAGAGGGCAATTACATCGCCAACGTTCTGTGTTGTCCACATATTCTATTCTATATCTTGTTTATGGGTGTTGTCCATCCACGATTGAATTGATTTAATAGGTTTCTTCAAAAATTTTGCGCATCACCTCTGTATGTTTTACTATTATTGTGGTATCGTTTGCAAAAGCTGATACTTCAGCACCATGTAGTGTGAGATTTAAAAGTCCGTCAACTTTATGTTCCACAGCAGGGGACCGAGTACTGAACCTTGTGGTACTCCTCCTGTACTTTTATAGATCTGGGTCCATCTTCAGAATCAGACAGGTAGAATGCCACAATCGTACGAGCAGTTCTCGCCCTGATGCAGTTCTAGGGCAGGGTGTTAAAGGCGTTCTAGATATCAAGAGACACCGCCACCAACACACCTACTCGGGATATCGCTTCATCCGTAAGGGCCCTCACCCGCGCTATACTGTTAATGGTGTATCTGCCTCTGTGATATCCGAACTGGTTGTCGCTTCTTGTCACTTTCTTTCACTTGTCACGAATCTTTATGGACGATATTCATTTCTTCTGCGATTTTTGTCTGTCCACCATTGCCCTGACTCTCATTATCCCTTTTTCCCCTATAGTTCGTCAATTAGGTCTTAAATATTATCTACGATATGACCCATGTAGTAAGGTAATTGTTGTTTGCATTTTTTTGTTTTTAATTTTTCCCTTGTACTTTGTATTTAAAAGGTTATTTTGCTCCAATAGAGTACCTCATATGTTCCAATGTTACAGCAGATTTCCGTAAGACTTACAACGCTTGTTCCTCTAACTTTTACTGGTAGTGTTTGTCTGAATCCACCGGAAAAATTTAGTTATAGTGACAGGTTAATTTTTTATGTATCTCAAACAATGTCTAATGTTAATTTAGTCAGAAAAGTCTTTCCTGTGCCAGCTGGAGCGTCTAAGAAATTAGATTTCCTGCAAAAACATTTTTCAATACAACTTAAAGTTGATGGTGAACACTGGTTCATTTATTTGTCCTACATAAATTTTCGAATGCTTTGACGTTGTTCCACTCTCTTCCCCTTTTCGGTTCATGTATATGAACATAGTACATTGAATCTAAAAGTGGCCTAAATTTATTTTAAAGCAAATCTCTTATATAAGGCTGTATTTCTTTAATTAATTTTCATCATCATCATCATCATCATCTCCTTATCCTACTCCCATAGGGTCGGCGCAACAGGTTTTTGTCCTCCACATAACTCTATCATACGTCAACTCAGTCCTCGTCTTTAATTAATTTTATTTGTTTGAATGGCCAGCGACTATTTTTCAACATTTGATAGCAACGTTAAATTATTCTTGAAGTATTATTTTTCTTCACTCTGTGTCGTCATAATTCATTTGTAACGTTATTGCGCACTGGTATTAATTAACTCATTGAAAATCTATATAGAGCGGTACTATTTACCGTACGTAAACTTGCGTACTTTGAGATTTTTTCCAACTGTAAATCTGTTTAAACCCATTGTTTTTTGTATTGTTCGTTGTTTTTTTATATTGACTCTTAGGTTTGCTTTTAGAATACTTCTAGCATATTCTGCAGCTTGTGCTAAATCAGTTTGTAGTCCAGTAGCAATTTTCGAGATTTAATATAATATTGTGTGAAAAAAATTACTATTATTTTTGTAAAAAAACCATTGTATGGTATGTGTAACTATCGCTTTCGTATCTATACGAATTTGAAAATTTACTCTAGTAAAGACTGAACATTTATTTTCTCATTTTAATATTTTTAAAAAGTGTCCGCCTAGGAAACACTCATTATTCTATGTGCATGTAACCGTGCGTTTCCACTGTGGAAATACTAATATAAAAACATCTTACTTATCACTGATTTCTGAATGAATCGATACGACAATATGTTTGTGCTCAGGTCTTCGGCAGTGGAAGTTTACGGCAATTAAAATTAAGGTCATGAGATCTTTTTAGGACGCTGTTAAATTAGTGTTTAAAAAAATTGTACAACCCGTGCATTGTAACATGAGAGTGCAAGACGACGTACTGATAAGCACGTTATATTGCTTTCTTCATCCTGTTCATGGCTTATCTTTATTAGGATCAAAAAAGCTGATCATAGCATTTAGGTGTCATGTTATTGTGCTCGGGTTCTATCTTTTATAAGAGTTCGAAGGCAGAAGTTTACAGTTTTTTGTAGAAAGACTGTCTGCAAGCTCAAGGGTGGAATTAAATCTTATATTCTCATAGATTTTATTTTTGAAAATTAAAAGTTTTACTCTATTAAGGATAATGTAAGTAGTGTCTGTAAAAATATCTTAGATTTATCGAGATCTTTATGTATTTCTTGTTATAATAATTGATGTTGATGTTAACTGTATATCTATTGAAATATCACTCTGATACCATTTTACTGTAATAATAAATAAATATATATTTAAATGTTGTTTTTTATACCCGTCCTTGTCTTACGAATTACGTATTTTAACATCCCGCGTTATATCTTAGTTTCTATTTTATGAGGATAAAAATCCAAAAGCTTGGCTTAAAGACTTTATTAAGTTACAATTTATGTTTCTTAAAATTAACATCCATTAAAACTATAACAGTATACACTCTGTATAACTTCATCTCTCCCAGCTTCCGCCTGATGTTTGTCTTTTTCATTCTCCCAAATGAATGTATCTTTCTTCTCTTTCATGTAACGAAATGTGCTAACATGATGTGTCCTGCAATAGACTTATTTCTATTTAACTATACAGAATGTATACTGTTATTAGTACTAAAACGTTCAGTGCTACCTTAATACAATTCTATAGCACTTTAATGCGATAAAATTGTAGGCAACATGCAACGTGTTATAAAATTAGATAGTACCTGGCTACTAGGTAGCAAACATCTAATACATCAATAAATATAGGAATTAACACGTACATTACAATATTTCAAAAGTAGAATATATTTATTGATATTAATACTGTCCTAGTTTTTTTTTACAAAATATAAGAATAAGAGAAATGTAAACTTTGGCAACAATCCCTGAAAGATATATTTTTTTTAATATTTATGTGTATCAAGTAATATAAACCAAGTTAGACAAAGCGGTTATTACGTAAAGTTTGTAATTAATCGTAATATTCAAGTAATTGCTAAAATCAAACCACAGTAGACAGATATTTGTCTTTTTAACTACTTAAACATAGTATATGAATATAATTTTATATTAGTTAAGTAATATAGATATTTTTAATTTTATTTTAAAGTTATGAACTAAATTTAAAAGAAGTATCAATTAATCCTCACACATAAATTAGCAAGCATAGAACACAAAGTATTTTAAGTCAGTCGGAGAGAATATCATTTCTTCAAAATCGAAATTAGCGCAGACAAGAACATTCTTATCGATTTTCAAACAACCAAAAGAACCGCATTACACTTACACCATTCTGTTAAAATCATTGTGCAACAAATATCTGAGTATTAAAATAAAATAATTATTATTTCACCAATTTCCATAATATCTCGTTAACTGCTTTAGTCACAATACGAAAAGATAAAATATGACACGGATGTATGTACATTTTTTTAATATAAATTTGTTTTTAAATACGCTTGAATTTCAAAATTTAAACCAATTGTCTTAAAAATTAATATATTGTCACATGTATCTATGCGATAAAAGAAAACATAATGATGCGACAAAGCGAAGAAATACAAAGACATATGAAGTCAAAAAATACTGAGAAACCGTAGTTCACTACGCCCTACTTACCTTACTTGGGTACGCTCCGAGCGCGGTGGGGACATGTGCTCACATGTTTACAGTGAAAACCCACGGTTAAGCTAATTCAAACAACTTTAAAAAATCAAAATCATCGTATTAATGATTACTAAAAATATTTACGTCTTTAAAATCACATAAAGAACCGAAAAACTGATATTAACTAAAAACAACTTATGAATTGACTAGAGTCATTACGATTACATACCCATGCATAGACCCGGCCGTATCTTACACACAACTCAACAATACCGGAACTCGCAACATTACTACCGTAGACAAGAACCGAGGTGATCCAATTGTAGAGTAATAAAAATGGTTGGAATTACATTTCTGCTGCTATTACCGATATTACTAATCGAATATTACACTGCCATACTGGGGTCAATTGAACCATGGCGTTTCCTGATACTAATGGCCTGGCCCATCACTGGCTGACATCAGATAAGGTTTTTGTTACCTTATCCGATATTTCAATCACATATTTTACACTTCGATTGTAATCAGAGAATTTGCTATTTGGTGGGACTGGGCCTAAATCACTTAGAGACTGTCCCACATATCTGACGTCATTTGTAAGCTATCTCAGCTTCTATCTGCCAGTGGCGGGACAGGCCCTTCGGGTGGCAAACAGTGAATTTTGAAAGATTTTTTGCAGTTTGTCTATGGACTGTTGTCCATTTACGTATACGTATAAAACGTTAATTTGAAATAGGTTAAAAATGTACTTCTTTCTTACGTCAATATGTCTCTTATCTCAATCCTTTATCCATCTCATTTTACCCTTCTTTTACCAACCTTTTCCAAAAATAAAGGTTAAAAATTATTCTATTTTTTTTTTCTAATATTTATTAATGGACACTTAAAAACAGATGGAACTTTTACACATTCATACCTTCTATCTATTAAAATTTAAATATTATGGCACTTCTACAAAAAAATATAACTACTAAAGTTATAACCGATATGTCCAACATAAACTTCAGATAAGAAAAATCACTGTAAAAAGCTTATGTTACGGTAACTTAGTAATAAGTACAATATAGTTTACAAGTACAAAGAAATAATTTTAGCACCGAAAAAGCATAAAAACATACATCACATTCCAAACAATACATTACTATTATGTTTTGCTTGTAATATATGGAACTAAATCTGTTAGAAAATCAGTTATAGCAAAGTTACATACATAAGGAACTTTATGAAATAGTTCCAATTCAAAATCCTGAATGCAAAATATTCAAAACATCTTAAGAATATTGTTAACATTAGAGATATATCGTACGAGAATATATGTATTAGATACTATATACTACTAGTACAATATTTTGGGGAATCGCGGGGTTTATTAACATTAATAAGGTTGAATTATAATATGACTGTACTATTATTTTTCTATAGAAAGCTTCAATTGAGTGAAAAGGCACGTCAAGACATGGCGGCCATATTGAATTTGATTTGTTATTATCAAGAGATAAGGTGAAGTTATTTGTATAATAAGGAGTGCTTTTTCTATGGTTTGATATTGGATTATTGTATAATATAGGAATTAATTCAACCTTACATGTTACAGCTTGGACACATAGAATTCACAACATCAATAACATGAGAGAATCCTCAATCATGGTAGAATAGAACACTACTAAATTAGAACAATGAAACATCATCGGGGAGCTCGAATCGCGAGGGCCAAAACAATTTGTTATCATAATACGCAGGATCGGTCAACGGTGTGAGCAGATTGCACCAGATGGTGAAGCCTAACACCATGTTGCTGATGATGAGGAGACGCTGAGTAAGGGGATAGTAGGCGATATCTTGGAAGTTAGGGAAACCCATGTGGTTGCAGAACATGTGAGCAGCGAGAGGCGCGACGAAGTGACCTATAAATGGATTAATAAGTCAAATACCATTAAAACTGCCTTCTTTTAAAATACAAATATAGATAATATTAGACAAATATTTAAAAACAACAGTTGTAGATAATATCATCAATATAAATAAATTACACATTTTTAGTTTATATTTAACATTTAAACTTTTTTTAATAATTGTATGGAGGTTTCTAACTCACCAGTTCGAAGGAATAGATAGGCCGAGTATGCACCAAAGAGAGAAGTATACATAAACTGGAAAGCTGAAAAGATAATGTATGTGTTAATAAAAAATAATAAACCAATAACACATTATTGATATCCCTATAAACATCAGTAAATATTTGCTGTATTTAGTTTTCTTTTTTTTGTTTATAAACAAATAATTTGAACTTGAAATGCAGTATGTATTTTTTAATAGGTGATAAATTAGCAAAGCAAATTTATATATCTACCTTTAATCAATAGAGAGGGCAAAAATTACTCCAGCATACACACTTATTAGACAAAATATGGAATAACTCTCACTTTACGCTTGTTGTCTGTGTGGTCATGGTATTGCACTAGATGAGCCCGCCTAATTAGTAGTATTACCACAAAACAAACTGTCAAGACACAAATTTTTGCATTACAATTACCTGAGATCATTATTGATGAACGAAGATCAAGTCCAAGTTTAATTTGTTCATACATGTGGTGGAAGTGAGCTGTAAATGACAAAAACAACATCCTATAAGAACACCTGAGGAATAAACCAATTTGCTGGTATGTAACTTCCATAGACAACATAAACTAAAAAGGTTCCAAGTTTAAATTTTATAAACACTTCGCCAGCAACAAAATTTGAAATATAAGACATAAGATTACATGTATATACTAACCAACTCCAAATAGCAAAGGTCCAACAAATACAGCTGTATATGGTTCAAGACACTGCACCAGTAAAGGCATCATGCAGGCCCGGAACACCCACTCCTCGCTGATTGGTGCCATTATATGATTTCTCACCCATGTCAGGTCTTGCCAGCTCACAAGCCAATAGATGGGATCTAAAAAAATCCCAAGATAGTTTCCAATTGGAATATTTCATAATATAAACCTAAATTGTATATTAAATTGAAACCACAATCAAATTATTTCTTAATATAAATATTACAACTTTGGATGAGATTTTCTGTAAATCACTTGCTAAAGAAAATTAAAAACATAAATCTAAGATAAACATATGCAATGCCAAGTACATGTAACTACAATGCTCGCCAGCAATATTGTAAAGCCAAGCCATTAATACATGTATTAATGAACATAGAAACTGATAGAACTAATACAATTTTCGAAACAATTTGAACTTACGTATCTTCCAAGTACCAGATAAGAATTGCATAGTCAGGGGGCCCATGAACAAAATCATAGTGAGAGCCAGAGGGGTCACAAAAGCAAAGAAAAGTCCGGACAAACGCATTCCTAATTGGTCGTAAATGTCGCCTTTATCTAAGGTCGAGTCTTTAAGGAACAGCCAAGTCACATAAGGCGCAAAAACCATCACGCAGGAGACACTGAAGAACCGTCTTTTTATAGTCGTAGGATGGTCCCTATAAAATATTGACGTTTAATACATGTACTTTAAAAACTAAATAAATGGTTACATTTTCGTCTTTACCTGCTTAACTTCGACCTCCATACATATAAGCTCCCAACATATAAAATTGTTAAAAATACGCTCGCGAAAATAGACGAAAGGCAATCACTTTCATCGAAACCCATATTTTATTCGAGAAGCAGTGTCGGATTGACACCAAATATCTCAAAAGCACAATAATTTATTTGATCAATCTTCGAATTGCAATTCTCACGTAAATTTTAACAATAAGATTTTATAGCATGATAGTAAATTAGAAAATGACTTAATTTTCTGTTTTTCGATATTGATTAGTATTACTTGACTGTGATTGGTTCTTGCCTCGATCAATGACAACAACAACATTGCCCACTGAAAGCCAAAAACATTTATTTAAAAACAGTACAAGCACAGACTTTAAAAAGTGCAAGATTTTCTATTAACGATTGAATATGACTCATATTAAAACATTAAAATTGCTTATGAAAATATAATGAAAGATTTGAGAAAGCTGTATTGAGAAACCCGGTCTAAGTCAATTTTTCGAAGTTCTCCTTTTTTCAAAAACTCCAATGTAAGACTACATAAAGTTAAAATGGTTTAAAATAGTAAACCTTTACTCAAACTTAAAGGGTCACTTAACAGGTAAAGGTTTCGTATTTTCTTTACTAGTTTAACAAATCGATAGACGACACGATGGCAATCTTATTTTTTTTTCTTTGCTTGCATTTTGAATAATATTTAATAGGTGGCGGTATGATCGTCGGTCGCCATATTCATTCATCTCCGCCATATTTTTCTGTGAGTCGCCCTTTGCTTTTTAGGGTAGAGTGGATTTTTATCGTAATTATTAGAATAATGGTTTTTATGAGTTAACTGTAACATTCTTAGTATTAGTGGTTAGTGCAATATACGTGAAACAAAAAATAATCCTGTTTAGTGGCAATTGTGTGGTTATATCTGTATTTCCTGTATCGGTTCTTCAATCTATTCTAAACAGAAAATGGCTGACGGTGTTGGTGCGGGTGTCTCCTTTGTTTAGACTGATTTTTAGTGAAAATAAGCATCAAAAGAAATAATGCCTAGTGCCTCGTTTTCCTCTTCGCGTTCTTACGTCCGTAGATCGCGAAGAAAAGGCGGACACAGAATACCACTTCCATCCAGGACACAATCAAGTAAGTTATCCGGGTCGGTTGATGTCGCACAAAGTTTTACAAATGGCTCGTTATCGACGTTTTCATCGATCTACGTTAATATTTATGCACATAAATCTTAACTGGTCTTTACATGAGTCTTTTTGTATTTGAAAATTCGCTATTTTTTCATCGTTTTGTTTGCCTTTTGTGATTCGAGAATTTGATTTTTGACTTTTACTGATTTTTGTAATTAAAAGACTTGTCATGGAGTCGTAGCTACTTCTTATTTTTTAATTTTTACGTCTATCATTTATAGGTTTATATTGGATAGCGCATTTCAGCGACATTTTGCGCAATATGAGTATTGATTTGGTCCGTGAAGTTTTATTTCACACGGGCACAACGAAACAGCTGTTTCGAGCCAGTAGTGCTACCCGTACGTTTTGTTACGAAACATTTCGTTATATTGTGGCTGATGAATTACAATCAGTATTGAACATAATTAGCTAGTACAAGTAACTTCAGAAATTCATGAATGAGTAATTAATTATGGAACTATATTGATTTGTTTATCATTTACTTATCAAAACATTGAATAATGTAGTTCAGCTACTATTGGTCAAGATTTTGCCTATCATGATTTTACTGTAAATAGATAAATTTTACAATAAAAATGTCAAAATAATAGATTCTTTTAACATCTGGTGGTATATAATTTTGTCTATTACTAATTGATGTGTTACTGCTAATAGTTATTCTTAGACATTGTATTTTTAAAAGAAACATATTTTGTTAAAAATATAAGTAGGTTGAAATAGTTAAAGCTTTTAAATTATTTTACCTTCTTTTAATAGTATCATGTGCTTTGTGCTGAAATATGTCTCACCTGATACTTAATGTTAAAGTTTTTTTTAAATATGTTAACTTTTGTTTGTCAAGATTTTAAGATAAATTTATAAAGAAAGGACTAATATTTCTTTACCTCTTATATGCAAATGAAGATAAGATACATCATTTCATACTGAGATAATTATACTATGGGCATACAAAATGGAAAATCAAAATTAAAGATGTTTTTAAAAAAAGCAATACTGACTACTTTGAAAAAAAAAACACATTTATATTATGAGTATTTGAAATGCTCATTAGATTTACTTTGGATCCAATATTTTTTGCATTTTAGAAGTAATCACTTCGTTAACATAAACAAAAACATTACAAAATGCTGTGGCAACATACATGTATTGTTTAGAATTTATAATCACAGATAACACATAGACACCAACATCTTGTAGGAAATTTTAAAAGCAACCTAATTTTACATACAATGAGACTAGATTTACCTCTCAAATAGGTCAAGTCTCTTGGCAGCAAAACAAGTTTCAATAGAGGATAATTTGTGTTCATAATATATAAATATATAATTATATCTGCAGCTAAAAATTATTAAGAAAAAGAACTCTCAAAATATCATACATACTTAATATAGATTTAATAACATTCTTAGCTTTTAAGTTTTATTCATGGCTTCTGTTTAAATAATTCTATCTTATACTTTGGAAAGTATATAATTTAAAAGAAAAGTGAAAAAAAACAAGAATGTCAGATATTGGTTGTTTGTTGTACTTGACATATTTATAATGTTTAAAGTTCTATTCTGTGCAATTTACATTTTTAGAATAGAATTTGCATTACCATATTATTATTCCAATGGTAATGTGGTTCTATTACTGAATTTATTGATGAACGGAATATGCAAGCTGAGATCTATTGAAATACCTCTGCTTATAAGAGCGAATATAAGGAACCAATTGAAAGAAAAGTCAGAACGATAGTTTTAAAATTTAGTTTCTTAAAAATAGTAATATCTAAGATTTAAATGTGAAAAAAAGCTTCTACAACTTGTGACATTAAAAATCGTTGTTTTTAACATTTTTCTATAAAATTCTTCCTTGCTTAATACAAAACTACTAGCAGTCCAGTAGCAAGGGAAATCTATGATATCTTCCTACCCTGGGGTTGTAAAAGAAATGGTACAATGAAATTTTGTTTTAGATATTTTCACTATCATTGTTAGTTTAAATATTTTTATTTGTTGATATTTAAAAGGCAAATATGAAATGTACACAATTTATTGATTGTACATTATTGTACATGATCAATGCAAGTTACATATTTCATATCATGAATGTGATTGCATTATCCAAGATAGATTTCTTTCTTTTAACCAACTTTAAAAAGGAAGATCTCGTTTCATCTTTGTTTTTTTTTTATGTTATCACACAATTCCTCTCCTGATTGTCTCAATCCATCTTTTGTTTACTTTTATTTCTCTCTGTTTAGTTCTGTACAGTTTTTATCAGTAGTGGTTCTAAAAACTCTTACCATGAAACCCAATGTATTCTAGGTGAACCATGTGAATCTGTACCTTGCCCGAACAACGTGACAGGCAGCGCGATGGCGGCGACGGCGTGCGCCGGGCCGAGCGGCAGCGGCGGCGGCGGGTCGGGCGGCGCGCCCCCCGTGCCCGCTGCGCCCGCCGCCGCCACGCCCGCCGGACACCACAGCCCCTACGACCTGCGCCGCAAGTCGCCGCCAGCCTACCACGAGCCAGGACCCTCCGGCGCCTGTTCGCTGCCCGCCAGGAAGAGGCCTAGGACGTCAGTATTCTTTACTCATACCCAAGAAGAGGTGTAAAAGTAAAATAATTTCAGTTCAAATTTTTTATTTTTCAAACAAATTGTAGCTTTGAAGCTACAATTTGTTGTTGTTGACTAGGAATAATTTGGTTAGCCTAGTTTAAATTGGACTGAAGCTTGTTTGCTTTTATACCTTCACCTTACCAGATTCTTAGAGTTGAAATCTTGGAAACTATGTATATGTATATCATACTAATCATACTGAAATTATAAATGCGAAAGTTTAGGATGTTTTTTAAAGTATCTAGCCCGAATGGCTGAATGGATTCCGTTGAAATTTTGTGTAGATGTAGTGGATATTCTTGAAGAACTCATATACTACCTACGTTTTTTTTGTTTTTTCAATTCCACTTGAACGGAGTCGCGGGCGAAAGCTAGTGATTAAATAACTCCTTATGGGTATACTTCATATCTTAATTATTAACATGTGGATATGACACTTAGTTGCCGATCAGTTACACAGAGGATTGTAAGGGAGAATGATGCAATAATGTAGATAATTTATGCATTTTGGCAGTGGTTAATATCTCCAATGAATTAAGAAAATTATAGTTGTCCTGTTGGATGTGGTATATTAATGTTTATTACATGGAGGTGCTAATTATTGCCATTTGATTCCCACTTTAAGGCCTGTCCCACCACAGTCTGTTATGTAGGCTCAAATAACTTAACTATGATGTCACTGTCAGAATAAGGTAACAAAGTCCGATATTTGCATCACCTATTTTACAGTTGATTATTATCAGACAATTTTTAATTTTGTGGAACAGGGCCTTAGTGTTATAATGTTAAGATGAAAGTTTTATGTTGACTTAAAAGAAGCTTTTAAAACTATGACTGGTTATTGAATCTTTTTCACTTATGTATTGTTTTCCATGTAACTGCTAAGCTTTAAGTGTGATTAAAGGAAATAATCATTTGTAAATTTATTTGACAGTTATTAAAAAATGCAAAAAGTAAAACCCATGTTCTATGTTAAGTTCAAGGTCCAAAATATAAGTTTTGACATAATCTATACAGTCAAATAAAAACTAACAAATGTTAAACAAAATCTGCAATTTAAATTATATCGAAGAATAAAATAAAAACATATACAAGTTACTAATAGTCATGACCTTTAAATGATCTTTTCTGATATTTTTTTTTTAGACCATTTAAATAGTGGATAGTATCAAATGCAATTGTTATTTAACTAACATATAATCATACATCATTAATCATTTGCACATTATTAATTCGTGCATTTTAATTAATTTACTAACATTTACTTTCTCAAGGCATTAAAACTTTTCACTACCAAGTATTCTTAGGGCCTGTCCCACCATTGGTTGATAGAGGCTCAGGTACCTTAAAAATGACGTCACTGTCATATAACGTAACAAAATCCGATATTTTCATCACATTTTACATTTGGATTGTTATCAGGCAATTTACAATTTGGCGGGACAGGCCCTCAGTATTGTTTTAAATCGATTATAGTTTGAAATTCAAAATATAACGATCGTAACTTGATATACAATCGTTAAGCAATAAAATATTTTTAAAATCAGCGAAATGTGATGATAGCCGCAAATTTCATAGTTTTGTCATCATCGACCCACATTCCGAGCATTCTAACGGCGTGTCCCACTTCCCATGACCATCGCCGCTACTTAACAAAAAAACTTGAATACGCATAACGACGTCCTTCTTGAGAATTTTGTTAATACGATAAAACATATGTCGGTTGCAAATTATTACTACGTTGTTTTAACTTAGAACGAATACTTTATGTTCACAACTTTGAGATATTAATAAAAACCTCTAGTAATAAAAGACTTTATTACGATTTGTCTCATATTATTTTCTGATTAGAAAAGATATAATATTAGAAGTTTTAACTATATAAAAGTATTAAAGGATCAGTTTTGAATCGCGGCACTCGAAAATGTTTAGTACATCTGATAAAATTTGCCGGTTGTACGAATCAAAACCAAAAATTGATACCAAATTATTTACAAGATTCATCGCTTACAATGTCTGTTTCTGGTGTGCATGTTTGATTAATATTTACGAAAAACATGTATATTATACCAACAGTGTTATATTAAATTTAAACAAGAACAGCTTGCATGTAATTATTTAATAATATAAAGTGCGTGTTTGTTCACAGATCTTTGTCTCAAGGCGTGGACGTGTGCAACGTGTCGCAGTACTTGCAGTACGAGCTGCCGGACGAGGTGCTGCTCTGCATCTTGTCGCATCTCACAGAGCGCGACCTCTGCCGCGTCGCGCAAGTCTGCAAGCGGTTTAACACCATCGCCAATGATACAGAACTATGGTACGTTTGTTACTAAAACATGTTGCATTATCAACAAACTACCCTTATAAAACTCCGACTTTGCTTTTGATATTACTACCGGTATAAGCTAGAGCTTTAACGGTTCTTAAGGGAAACCCTTAGGTTTACTGATAAATGTAAGGATAGATGACTTATCTTACCAATAAACAATTGCTATAGCAGGAACAGGAAATATCACATTAGATAGATCCAGCAGTCATGGCTCAGATTCAATGCTGTATGTTTTTCGTCAGCACACACAGTTACCATAACAATCCTACTGAGCATTTTTGTGATATAGATTTCTGTTTATCTTTACTCTCAACAAAGGTATCAAATACATCTAAAGGAACTTTTGTAAAGTGAAAGTTGTGGTGGACAGGAAAAGTCTGTACCAGTCGGTGTTCGAGTACGACACGCCGCTGATGCACCCCGCGCCCTGCCAGTTCGAGTTTGTCGCGCCCGACGAGTGCGACGCCGACAACCCCTGGAAGGAGAGCTTCCGCCAGCTCTACTACGGCATCCACGTGCGTCCCAACTACCGCCCCAAGAAGGATTCGCGCATCAAACATTTTAATACTATCAGGGTAAGTTGTATACCTCTCGACATCCTATTTTGTAAACTATTGAGAAATTAAATTTGACAGAATGCAATTTATTGCTAGCTTGAAGTTATCTTTACTAATATTATAGAGAGAAAAGATTTGTATTTTTGTATGTATTGGAATAACTTAAAAACTACTGAGCCGATTTTAAATATTCTTGCACCGTTAGAAAGGTAAGTTATCTGTTGATCAATGTTAAATACAACCTCTTTTGCTGACAAGAAGTATGAATACCGCCAAAGATGCATACTGGCCACTGAGACTTAAGTGGATTGGTTATTAAAAAGAAATAGGACATGGGCTGAATTCTTTATTATTTTTATATTTGACGCGGACGAAGTCACGGCCAACAGCTAGTTGTTTATGGGAATATACAATATCCTTTAATAATGTAAATTGCTTTTGGGATTGTAATCAATTCAATATCTATGGATGTTTTTAATGTGACTGAATGTGGTTTGTTTGTAGGCGGCATTGGAGTACGTGGAGGAGCGCAGCGGCGTGTCGTGTGCTAGCGGGGGCAGCTGCAGCTGCGGCGGGGGCGGGGGTGGCAGCGGGAGTAGCGGGAGCTCGAGCTCGTCCGGGGGCGGGAGCGGGGGTGGGGCCGCGGGCGTGTGCTCGTGCCGGCGAGCGCCCGCCCCGCCCCCCGCGCTGCTCTTCGTGCACGCTGGTCTCTATCAAGAGGAATGCCTCGCCATCGACACTGATGTGCAGCTCATTGGTTAGTAAAATAACTGCACTCAGAGTAATGTTGTCGATAATGAAGATTACGTAAAAACTCACAGTGCCAGTATCTTTGGTAATCAAAAACCGTCCAGACTTTGTACATTAATTGATAGTGTTTTTCCATAAACTAAATTGTTTTTTGCATCTAAACGTATCGTGAAACATTCTAATCAGCACAGTAATGCAAAATTTATTTACAAAAAAGCAAAGTCCTAATGAGCATATAGAGGCGGTAAGCCGTCGTTATTTCCAAACTAGTACGACTTGAGGTCCTTCAAGTAGCGAGTCTACCATATCATCAAAAGTCGGCAACGCCTCAGTAGTTGTAGTTGACCACATGTGTTCCCGCCGCTCGTCTGCCCCCTTTTCTTATAAAAAAGTAGAAGTTACTAATTTTTACTTTTAACCAATTTAGTTATCTATACTTGTACGACTGTTATGAACGTTTGTAACCTTTTCATAAATTGTATCAGGCTGCGCGCCCGGCAACGTGGCGGAGTCCGTGGTGCTGGAGCGCGAGGCAGAGTCGACGCTGACGTTCGCGGAGGGCGCCAACCGCGCGTACGCCGGCTACATGACGCTCAAGTTCTCGCCCGACGCCACCAGCACCATGCAGCACCACAAGCACTACTGCCTCGAGGTCTCCGACAACTGCTCGCCCACCGTCGACCAGTGCATCATACGCAGCGCCAGCGTCGGTCAGTATACACAATACAACTTAATAAAATACTGGCGTCGCTGCCTCAAGGGATAAGAACTCGACTTGTAATCTGCAGGTCCTGAGTTCAAAGCCTACAATTTATTTTTCGATTTTCAATTTTGTATGTAGGAAAACATTGTAATGCAACCAGCACATCAATGATAAAAAATACTAAGCTGACTAAGTAATAAATTACTGTATAACATATCTATAAAGCTAGTTTTATGTAATACGATTTAGTATTGAAATTTAATAGTTAAAAAGTATCTGATTTTTAATTCCCTCAACAAGTTCTAAAACGCAAGCAAATTATCTAGCTAGCTTTATTTAATTACTTTCTGACTTGAGAACCAATCAAAGACTTTGTCGTTGTTTAACGACGTCACAACACTCCTGCACACTACAACCGCGTTTTAATCGCATTAAAGAGTTTGTGATATAATTTTTTCGATCATTGTTTTTTTTTTCTGGTTATCTAAAAAATAAAAAACATGGTAATTCCGTATTGTTAGTGGGTGCGGCGGTGTGCGTGAGCGGCGCGGGCGCGAACCCCGTGATCCGTCACTGCGACATCAGCGACTGCGAGAACGTGGGCCTGTACGTGACGGACTACGCGCAGGGCGCCTACCAGGACAATGAGATATCTCGCAACGCGCTCGCCGGCATTTGGGTGAAGAACTTCGCCAACCCCATCATGCGCCGCAACCACATACACCACGGCAGGGATGTCGGTATATTCACATTTGAAAATGGACTGGTCAGTTGCTTTGTTAATATCTTGGAATTTTTATGTACTTTCAGTATTTAAAAAAATTACTTCTAAAGACTATGCTATTCAATAATATAAAAGTTTTCTAATAATTTTTCCATTATTTAGTAGATTTCCAGTAGCTTTCTAGGTAGAAGTTTGTTTCAAACAGATATACAATTTTTCCTTGTTCTAACAACTCAGTACTTTATAAAGAAGTGTTTTAAATTTTTAATGTATGGAGTTTATTGCTTTACTTAAAAAGTCTAAAATAATACTTTAAATGATAAATAGACAGGGAAACTAGAGGCCGACCCGAAACAATGGAGATTGCATATATCAGGGACAAGATTGCAGGGTTCCTCGATCTACAAGATACCGTTTGGAGATTGATAAAGGTTTACTTCATTTAATGTCTTCTGTATCAATTCAATTTAAAACCTAAATATTTCTAGGGTTATTTCGAAGCGAACGATATCCACAACAACAGAATAGCCGGTTTCGAAGTGAAAGCCGGCGCCAATCCCACCGTAGTTCACTGCGAGATCCACCACGGTCAGACCGGAGGTATCTACGTGCATGAGTCCGGTCTCGGACAGTTCATAGACAACAAGATACACTCCAACAACTTCGCCGGAGTGTGGATCACCTCCAACAGCAACCCCACCATACGCCGCAACGAGATATACAACGGACATCAAGGCGGGGTGTACATATTCGGCGAGGGACGCGGACTTATTGAGCACAATAATATATACGGGAATGCATTAGCTGGCATACAGGTACAAAACAACTGTAAAATTTGACAGTGGTTTTAATTAATTTTTATAGTGAAAATCAAAGTTAAAGGTTATATAACAATTTAGTATCTTGCAATGTGACTAAAAGTGGTATTAAAAAATCTATTGTAGATAACAAAAATTATCACCTAGATTTTTTATCATAGACTAATCAACAAACGTCTTTTTATACGGTAGCTGTGCTCGCGACTTAGCGTGAAATTTAAAATGTAATAATATTATGGCCTTCGTAACTCTGATAACGAAGCTTCTAATTGGTGACATAATTTTTGAAAACTGCCCAGTAGTTTTTTAGTTATTTCAACAAAAAACGAAAAACACAAATCTTTCCTCTTTATAATATTAGTATAGATAGATTGATTAAAGTAATAAAAATGTAATCGTTGTGTTTGTATTGTGCAGATTCGCACAAACAGCGACCCCATAGTACGGCACAACAAGATCCACCACGGGCAGCACGGCGGCATCTACGTGCACGAGAAGGGGCAGGGCCTCATCGAGGAGAACGAGGTGTACGCCAACACGCTCGCCGGCGTCTGGATCACCACCGGCTCCACGCCCGTGCTGCGCAGGAACCGCATACACTCCGGCAAACAGGTAACCTCCACACTGCCAGGGAGGGGACGTATAGGAAGGGGAATATACTCTGTAAGTCATTTCTGTCCATTTAAGTTAGGTAATACCTCAATAACTTGTAGGAGATGTCGCTATATTTTGGGAATTCAGGTTACCGGGGACTTGTTGTCGCCTTATACTATTTAAAAAACAACACATTCAATAACCCAAGACTTTCGCGTACGTAAATTAACTCTCAGGATGAGTTGGTGGCAATGAATATGTTCAATCTTGTTATAAACCTTTAAAACAGTTTAACATATGTTAGAAGAGGCAATTTGCTAGATGTGTATTTTGTATTATAATAAATTTTTTATTGTCTCTTTTTTGCAAAGAGTATAAAAGTGATGACGCCAATGAGTCAAGTGACGTCACACGACTAAATGTTTTCAATAAAACCAGGTGGGTGTTTACTTCTACGACAATGGTCACGGCAAGTTGGAAGACAATGACATCTTCAACCACCTGTACTCGGGGGTGCAGATCCGCACGGGCAGCAATCCCGTCATCCGCGGCAATAAGATCTGGGGTGGACAGAATGGCGGCGTGCTCGTATACAACGGCGGCCTCGGTTTACTCGAACAGAATGAGATATTCGACAACGCTATGGCCGGCGTCTGGATAAAGACTGACTCGAACCCAACGCTCAAGAGGAATAAGATTTTTGATGGACGCGATGGAGGCATATGTATTTTTAATGGGGGAAAGGTAAGTCGAAGTTTGCAAGTTATTGCAACTTGTAAACAGTTATAGGTTTTATTTCAAATTTCGACTTTCGAACAAGGATTTGTGTTTTCTTATAGGTCAAAGTAATAAGTTTTGGAAAATTGCAACATATAAACATCTTTTATATTCGAAGATTTATTTTAAAAGTGTGTAATTTTAAATGAGTGGGTGTTAACAGTGCCGTGTTGTGCAGGGCGTGTTGGAGGAGAACGACATCTTCCGCAACGCGCAGGCGGGCGTGCTGATCTCGACGCAGAGCCACCCCGTGCTGCGCCGCAATCGCATCTTCGACGGCCTCGCCGCCGGCGTCGAGATCACCAACAACGCCACCGCCACGCTCGAGCACAATCAGATATTTAACAATCGATTTGGAGGTACAGTTATAACGCGCGGTGTTTATATTCACAGAAATACATATTTTTTTTCTTTTTTCCGAAGGGGAATACGTTACGCATACTCTGTGCCTCGTGGCAGACACGTGAGAAAGAAATACATAACATAACATAAATTAGCTGTTGCCCACGAGTTCCAGGTGAAATTACGAAATATCCTGTGTTACTCAGCGATAACGTAGCTTTATAATGGTGAAAAAATTTATGAAATTGGCCCAGTTTTTGAGTTATTTTAATACGTACAAAAATACAAATCTTTCCTCTTTATAATCTATCTATATCTGTACATATAATATTACTGGAGTGTCTGTTTGTAATATCCAAAGAAAAATATTTGTCTGTCTGTCTTTCCGCAAGCCGTGTTTGTTCCGGGTAATTTCCGAAACGGCGGAGCCGAATTCGAGGAGTATCACTAAAGGGTACCTGACTTAGATGGACATATTATAGGCAACTTTTTTTTTATCTCAATATTGCATGTACAAAGTGGGGGGCAACAGCTAGTTTTAATATAGATGTGTTGTTCCGTCCAACGAAACAGATTCTTCTTACAATTAAAATGTAAAACGAGGGCGGTGTTTTGTAATGGCGTTAATTTAATTTGTTTGTTGTGTTCAGGTCTGTGCCTGGCGTCGGGCGTGTCGCCGCTGGTGCGCGGCAACAAGATCTTCAGCAACCAGGATGCTGTGGAGAAGGCTGTGGGCGGCGGACAGTGCCTCTACAAGATATCCTCATACACCTCCTTTCCTATGCATGACTTCTATAGGTAACTGTAACATGCGTTAATTAATTTAAAACATTCATCTAGTAATCACTTATAAATAGCTAACAATAAATAAGAAAGTTTCATAATATAATTTCAATAAGAGAAATCTATACTCAAAGACAAGACCGGACCACTAAATGTCCTTACAAGTAGTTACATCACTAGAACGATAAAATTTTGCAAAACAAATGGGTATTTGTTCATTGCTAAAAATTCTGCGTTATATTTTAAACAACTATATCTAATTATATTGTGTAAACTTTCAGATGCCAGACATGCAACACGACAGACCGGAATGCAATTTGCGTCAATTGCATCAAAACGTGCCATTCAGGACATGATGTAGAATTTATACGCCATGACAGGTGACTGACTAATATCTAAACTGAATATTCTGTCTAAAAGTAAACATCGAATTATATTCAATTTTCCTACAACCACTGTGTAACGCAAGTTTCTACCAGGAGTTTTATTTTGTAAAACGATTGCTGCTTGTTACAACTTTGTCAGCGTGGAGTATTAAAAAATAGTAAACTTTTGGATTATATGTTACATACAAAAATAGTAATTAAAATAGTAGTAAACTAACAAATGCTCTAATTGTACACAATGACTGGAGATTTATAAGATGTAGACAATGTAGGGTTCTTCAAAAGGTGAGCATATCACCTTGGTGCAGGTAAAGGCCGGCATTAATTATGCAGTTTCTCTGATATTGCATGGCCATGGTCGTCGATGAATACCTCGGGGTTCCTACTGCTCGTTTCCCATCTTTTTAAAAAAAGAATTCATGATGCTATGAAATAGATTTGCCTAAAAAGATATTTACTCAAATGTTTCGTTGTTATTTGTAGATTCTTCTGCGACTGCGGTGCGGGCACGCTGTCGAACCAGTGCCAGTTACAGGGCGAGCCCACGCAGGACACGGACACGCTGTACGACTCCGCCGCGCCCATGGAGTCGCACACGCTCATGGTCAACTGAGCGCAGCCCGCCGCGCCCAGGGGGCCCACCGCGCCAACCGCGCCCACCGCGCCCACCGCCCCGCCCACTGCGGCACTTCTCACTATGCTCTAACATTGCTGCTTCTACGTAAGTTGACAAGGTTAAATAATGTTGTTAGAAATTATTTTCCTTACAATTTCATATATCGACAGGTGAAAGGCTATTTGTTTCAACCGCCATTTTAGGCGATATGGATTATTCAGAATTGGCGAATTTTTCTGCGTCGTTTGAACCGGGTTTCATAAAGATCGGAGTACTTTTGTAGCGCTTGAAACAATCGAAATGTTGCTGTCGTTTTTAAATAGCCATTTATGAAGCGCCAAAAAATCAGCAGTTTATTAATAGTCAGTGGATTGAATGAAGTATGCAGAATTATAGTAATTTTAATAGGAACCGGTCTGAAAACCTTTCAATTAAAATTATTTTAAGAATTTGTTTTTATATTTTTTTTTCTAAAAATGAAAACTTTAAATGGCTCTTCTGAACATTTAACCTAATGGCGATTAAAAAAAATAGACTTTCAGCCATCGATACGTTTCTAACTTCAACACTCAAATTTGTTAGTCACTAACAAGTATCTAAGTGAATACTTATTCCAAATACTATCTTGGATCACTGTTATACAACTTGAGTGAAGCTTCTTTTTTTTTTCTTTTTTGTATCTATCTTCTATTTTTCTTGTTTCAACGTCATATTACCGTTTATACAATGTTAAGGTTTGAGCATAGTGTGATTGTTGTATTTTGTATCATAATGTAAGGAATACATTGCCAAGCGGCTTTTTATACACTGACAGATACAGCTTTAATGAGATTAGTCACTTTATTAAAGCTAGCATTCATATGCTTAAATGAAAATGATGTATGGGCATTAATACTGAAATCATGAAAACAGCGTGCATGTCAATATGACTGCTATATGTTAGAAACCAGATTCGCAGTTGCTGATAAAATCATGTAAAACAGTGGTGTAAAACTTGTGAAACAAGTGTTAAAATTATTGGAGAAAACTTGATCTCAACAAAATTGGTCCATCCAAGGACTTGGCCTTTATTTTTAAGTCCACTAAAATGGCTTATTTTAAAAGGCTCTTGAAATCCAAATATAGAAACATTTTAAATTTTAATAATTCTGAAGTAAAATGCAATTTTCAATAATGTATACCAGAAAGTAATAAAAAAACATATCATGCTTCAATACTGTACTTTAAAACCAATTCTGGTAAAAAAATATTTAGGCTGGAAGATGAAAAACTAAATTGTGTGTGTTGAAACAAAAATGTTTATGTCCCATACATTACAATTTATGTTACTTTTGGACACATTGGTGTAAAGGTATTTTCGATCGGTCCAAAGGGAAGCCCATTTATATCGATTTAAATATAATTTTAAGATGCAAAAGGTACCTTTTTTATATGTGGACATAACCAATTTTGATTCTATACCTGACATATTGTTTTTTAACTAATGACATGAAGATCATAAATCATGATAATTATCTACATTGGTATTTAAATATTATCTAATATCAATGGAAAATATAATGTTTTTGTCAAATATAATTCTTATGAATATAAATATGACAGCTATGTCATAAAAATGTAAATTATGGAATAATATGTTATTTCTTAGTACAGTGTGACGTAATCACTTCCATTATCATTGGTACAACAGATTAAATCAATTATATGCAATTTAGTATTGTATCGTTTGCTTTAATATAAATAATAAGTGTATGTGAAACTGATTTTTGTTTTAAGTTTTTATTTGAATATGTTGGCCAATGATATGGTTGAAGCGGTGGGCGCACTTACCTCACGTCACCTAACAATTATTTTTATTATCTAAAACTCGTTCGTGACATCTCGAGTTACGGAGCCATTGTATAGACCGACAAGGATGTCTGACCCGGTGCGTATAAGTCAAACTAAATTGAGACAAAACACTAAGGCCAAAGTTTTTGTTGTACTTTGTCATTTTTATCTCTAAATTCTACTTATTTTCAAACATAACTAACCGTGATACCAGCTCGTTTTACCGGGCCAGATATCCTTGTGTGACTATACCTTTGTATTATAGATGACGAAGGAATGTTGTTACGCTATTTGTATATGTAGAGGCGTCTTTTTTATCATCGGTACTTAATAATGTATTTCATCGTGTAGTCTATCGTGCATTCCCTAAAATTGTAATCACCCATAAAGTCGCGTCGATATCATAGAGTAATGTTTTTTTTTCTTTGTAAGATGTTCCGGTTGGCGGTATGTTTCTACCGGAACTATTCGTGATGGGGATGATTTCTATTTTCTTTTAATTTTTTACCGAAGCTGACTCGATGCGTACGTTTTTATCATACGATCAGTCCGGTCCTGCGACTGAGACGGTCCTGGACCGGCTACGATTTTGTAACATTATAAACTTAAATAATGTTATGTTTTTATCAATTTGACGAGATGATTTTTATTTTGGAGCATTTATCGAGTAGGTCTCCTGAAGGTGAGATAAGTTGGTGTTTTAGTTAATAAAGATATTTGTGCGAGTAGGTCCGAGGGGCGGGGGCGGGGGCGTGGCCGGGGTCCGCCTCGCCTAACTAGTTTTGGCGCTCCTCTGATGCGCTTTGTAAATATTTATGTCACACAATAATCGAAAATGTAGTAATTAATGTATTTGTATCATTATATTTTTATTATTATCGATCACAAGCTGTATGTTTAATTATTATGAAGTACGTACGTACGCTCGGGACGCGGGCGGCGCGCCAGCCGCCATTGTATATTGGATAATGCAAACGAAGAAGGAATCTGCGTATTTAATTGGAAAAGATCTTAGGTACAATTGATATTTTATTATATTGTTAATTTAATGGTGGTATTGATGAGACGCTAGGGAGCATTGCCAGAGCAGGAGCGTCGAGCGGCAGCGGAGCTCGTAGCTGTAAGTTAGCCGGTAAGCTGTAATGAAATATGAATTACTCAATAATCACTATTGCAAAATTTCGAATTGTTAAATCGTCTCCAAAGCACGGTATGTTCTTGAATCTGCTTTTTTTATAATCCTCAATCTGTGATCATCGATAAATGTGTAAGTTAATCAAACGTACGTGTCAGCGGCCGGCTGCGGGTGCGCGCCGGCGCGCCGACAGCGCCAGCCACGCCGGGATTACTGTGGCACCGACGCTTTATATAATTGAATGTGAAAATTGTTATTTATTGAATTGTCAGTATGTTCATTATTTATTGAATTCAAATCTGGGATATTTTTGTTTATACCTGAAGATACCACTGTAAAAGCCGTGATATACATCGTATAATATTATACATTGGAATTTTATTTCCCCCCTACCCCTACCATATAAATATCAAAGTCACTTTACAAACCTTACAATGAGATAAAATTCATATAAGAATGATATAATAACTTACTACTGCAAATGTCGGGTATAGAAAACAAATGATTTTCAGTAAAAATTAACAAGCTTTATTAATTATCTATAATATATCTATTTACAAATAATCATTGCAATTATTAGCTAAATCTTACTATTAATACCATTTGATTAACTTGTATATGAAAATACTGGATTAGAATTAATTAAATGAACGTTGCAACTTCTGTCGGGGAGACCGCCTCCGCGGCGACACGTGCACTGCTTTCATTGGAGTGTTTAGTTTCTTGACATCGCCCGAAGGAGCCGGAGTTCGTAAACTTCTCGGTTGGCACAATGGTTTCTTCATAACTGGTGTTTGAGCTTTCTGAGCCATATTTTGAGGAGAAACTACTTTTTTTACTGGAGTCGTCGCTTTTCTATTGAACCGCAAATTTATTGATTCCTCTTTACCTTCACTAGTAGTCGGATAAGGCCGTAAATAATTTCTATTATACTCTTTATTCAGTCTATTGGGTATGTTCGGGGAAGTTGGTATCTTAGATTTAGTGTTCGTAATACTTTTAAGCGGTTTGTTTTGTCCGTTCGTTCGAGGTCTTCTAGCGAAGTTGGACTCGGTTTTGTCGTTTCTTTCCGAGGACTTGTCGGAGCTGGACTCGAACAGCTTTGCTTTGGCGAGTACTGCGCCGGCGTTCTGTTGCCGCAGCTTGTTTACAGAAGGTCTTCCAGTTTGACTATCATTCTCCACTTCACCAGTCTTCTCCATAAAGAACGCGGCTGCGCTGCGCCATTTTTGTTGCAATGGTTTATTAGAATATTTAATACTTTTCGTGTTATTTCGATAATACTGATATTGATTTGAATTCGATTTGTCGCTATTATTGAGCGAGTTTTCTGAAATACCGTCGTAACTGTTATCCATTGTGATATTGAGCGATCTTCTCGGTTGTGGTTTGCCAATAGTTTTGTTTAGGTTGTAATCTGGCGCGAGACTAGTTCGCTTCCTTAGTCTGTACTTTTGACTCGAATTGGACATGTTATTTACATTGTTATCGCAGTTAGATAGATTCCAATCATCGACGGGCTCACTTTTAATTACAGACTCTGGTTTCATAGTACTCGTTCTTTCTCTAGGCGCGACTCCGCCGTACGGATAGAATCTGTCGGAATTTTGACTAGCCTGTGAATGCGTCGACACGTTCCATGATTTGTGTCGGACGATTTTGGTTAAGTTTTCCTTGGATCGGCGTCGAATTGAGCCTATTTTTCTAGCACTAGGAGATCTTATAATTTTGGCTTGTTCCTTTGGTCGTATCTTGAGTTCTTTGCTGAGTCGTCGCGCGAGATGTTCGGAGCTGGGGCAGTGCAGCATGGCGACCTCTTCCAAGGTTTGTTCGTATGCGTTCTGCACGTGCTGCAAGGGCTGCACGTTGGGGATAACGTCCGTAAATTCTCTGGAGAGTCTGTTCTCTATGGCGGAAACTCTGCTCTTGATCTCCTCGTACTCCTGCTTGGAGATCCTGACGTAGTCCTTGTCAGGTTGCTTCATATCTGGGGATAGGTCTATGGTGTCGTGAGCACTGAACAAATTCTCAGAAGACGTCAGCATGTCCTCGCTGCTGACGCTGGTTTCAGAGTTTATATTTGGTGTGTCCTTTATGTCCTTGAAGCTTAGTCGCAACCTTTTTCTTTCAGTGATACCCCTATAAAAAGAAAGATCTATTAATTTTTACACACTTTTATATAAAGAGGTTAATAAAACTATGTAGCTTTTACATTTAAACTTACATTTTCATAGGCGTAAAAGACAATTCTCGCTGAGGCAGATTTTTCGTAACTTCTTTCCTGTAACAAACATTTTGATTATAATTTAAAACAATAATATCTACTTAAATAGTTAACAAAATGTTTCGATATACTTTATTTTGGCAGAAAGTCCCTCGTAGCCTTCCATCTTGCGTTTGGCGGCGGACTTGCTGATCACGGGCGTGTTGGCGTGCTCGGGCACGGTGGCGGGCGTGTTCGCGCTCCCTGACACCATCTTACGTAGACCGCTAAGCATTCCTGTATTACGAAATAAATACACACCTATATCCAAATCTCCTAAAAAAAAAACTAAATACTGGAAACTGTATATTTGTTTTAGGGTGCAATGAATCTATTTTTCTGAATTATCGCGACGACTTTTTTTAGTTTAATGACAAATAATAATTTGAATCCTGATTCAAAGGGATTGAGGCTTAAACACAATGTTACCTAAATTTGACTTCTATACTTTTTTTTTTTATAAAAATGTTAGTAAATTTTTGTTAATTTATTTATGGATTCGAACCCTCGACCGCAAGATCGATAGTCCGTACCCCAAACCATTAGGCAATTGGCGCTTGAATATTGAATACTAGTATCATAAACATAGATTTTTATTTTCATAACAAATGTTTATATCCAAGTATGATTTTAATTGTACCTATGATAACTGAATAAGGATATAAGTGATAACATACTATTAAGTGAGCCGCTCCGTCGCTTCTTCCTCCTGGCGTGGTGCAGGTCGCAGTCGTCATCCAGCTGCGTCATCAGCTCCTCCGACAGCACGCCGATGTACTGAGAGTTCTCTATAAACATCTGTCACAAAATGCACTATTTACATATGAGTTATACACAGGTCAATCAAAAAATAATATTTAAGAACCAGTTTTACAATAGTTATTATTTATTACATCGTACTTAAAGCTAGAAATAAGTTGGACTACTTAGGGCCTGTCCCACCTCAGATAGCTTAAAAATGACTTCATTGTCAGATAAAGAAACAAAATCCAATATTTCGATCACATGTTTTACATGTTGGATTGTTATCAAACAATTTACAATTTGGTGGGACGGGCTCTTAGAATGGTAACCTGTGCTGCCACAATTAAAAATTAATGTTATTACTATGAAATAACTAGGACAACAGTTTAATTGTGTCACAAGTTTATTGCACTACAATGCAGAAGTTATATGGGTTCATTAACTAATTTATTGAATACTATTGATGCTAGGCTTTTGATAAATATACTCAGATCTAGATTAATACAGCTATGGCTTCACAATTTATATGGCTTTGATTTATTTTATAACAGTTGTTACAACTTATTTGATAATAGTACAACACACTATTATTAATAACTATGACTATTAGATAATAGAAAGTAGTTCCTGTTGAACAGGATGAAGGGGGAAATTATCTCACAATACTGATATATTATGTGTAATTATGTCCAAAAAGAGTGTTTAATAAATTCAAATATACAAAACATGACATATTATTATTGACAAGTCAGTTAAAAGCATTTCAAGTTATTAACTAATTATTATATCACCTATAGCTAAATGATTCTTAAGTTATTTGTAAAACTCACTTTAACAAGAGCCACATGATGTTCCAGCCTCTGAGCCGAGGATGCAGCCGGCAAGGGCATAATACTGGGCGCCATCACTATGGCAAGGTTTGATGAGTCCATCAGATTGTCTTTGTGTCTTGATGCAATGAACTTAAGAAGCTAAAACACATATATTAATTATCAAATTAACTACCATACAAAAAGAGCCTTAATTGGTCATAAAGGGAATCCTGTGGGATATATTTTTAAATACTAATTCAACAGTAATGGAGACCACAAGGTACAGATGTAGAGGATATTCTGGAAGAACACATAGGGTACTTTCTTTTGTTTTTTATTAATTCGACGCAGAAGGAGTCGCTAGCGAAAGCTAGTATTTTATAAAATATACACAAAACAATCTTACCTCCATAATATAATGTAGTAAATGAACATGTAGTACTGGTAAAAGTAATAATGTATGTAAAATTGGTTTAAGTCCATCTTCTCCAGCAGTCACCCGGCATCGGAGTAGCAAATCCTGGACTTCAGCACTAATGAGAGGTTCCGGTAAACAACGCAAATATAGCTTTAGCACACTCGCCACATCTATCGGATGATGTCCCTCTGATACGCAGCCGCCAGCGTCTAACAAACGCTAAAAACAACATAATAAATTATGACATTCAATTTGAACAATAGGACATAGAAGTATTTTTCGAATAGTAGTTGGACTAATAAGAAATTACCTTAATGTCTTTTTGGCGCGTTTGTGAACCAGCTTTACGAAATAAACCCTCCACATTAGCGTTTGCTCGTAGTACAGACGACATTTCACTTACTACATTAGGAATACTCAATGTACTGCCACAACAAATTACACTACATGATGGAACTTTCACTAGAGGGGCTCCAAATACAGTCTTATGATCCTGTAACAAAAACGGCAAATGTGAGATAAAAATAATAAGTCATCCTATTGCGACCGGAAATGTTTACTTACTTTCACATTCTTTAATATGATTTTCTTTAAGCGATGCTTTAATCCAGCTTTCTTTAATTCACCGACTATAATTGATTGTAATTTGCCATGATTGATTCCGTCCGATATTAACATTTTAATACTATATGGCTTTATATAGGGATCATTTGCAAAATTGATGTGATTCTCAAATTGCCTATTCAAATTGACTTTATTCGTTACAAAAGTTAAGTTACGTCCCTTGACACGTTCCGTTTCTCAATGTTAAGATAGACCAACATTTTGTTTGGTTAACTTTTTTAGCTTTTTAGTTTGAAATAATTTTGGTTATAAATTAGTTTAAAACATTCTTTCAAATTATGTATTCTAAACTGCTGAGACGACAAGAAATCGAGTCGAACAAAAGGAGATTTTCAAATCATAAACGTTATTCTGTACGGAAAAAAAATTAAGGTGGAATAAACGAATTATTTAACTGTTTCTTTTATCGTAAATTATAATCCATAAATTCCCAATATTTTAAAAATTAGGTAGCGGTGGCTGAATTATATCTTTCCGTGTTTAGATTGGTTTAGATGTCAGAACTTGACGTGTCAATTGTCAAACTCAAATCGAAACAAAATGTCAAATAATGTAGAAAAGTAAATATGAATTAAATATTTTGTAAACAACTTTACTGTTATTCTTTTTTTAAAATTATCGTTCACTGTGATTATTATAAATAGTTGCGAGCGACATAATGATTGAACTTTCAGCGAAGTTAACTACAGGTACCGTTTACCTGGCTGGAGAAGCATTAGAATGTTGCATTACATTTTGTCACACAACTCAACCTGAACACAGGAATTCGCAAAGCCACAGGTAAAATTACAAATTGGTGTATAAGTTTAGTTTTTATAAAAAAAATCTAAAATCAATTACCTTCCGCAGTGACATCTTAGAGAATTTGGCATGGGCTTCCGCGCAAATACACTGTTTTTATTCAACATCGGGTAATCCTGGCGATAAATCATTATCTATCGAGAAGACAACGGCTCTGGAAGTAACATCTTGTGATATTGGAGATGTGGTTTTTCATACAAAACCGAAAATATTGTTTTGTGACCTGACCATTCCACTTGGTGAAACCAAAACATGTAAGTAAATATAAGTTTTATTTGTTTGCTAGTAATTGGTTCCTTATCCAATACATTAGTTACCAGTATAATGCCTACTAGTGTACAACATAATTATAACTCTGAGAAAATTTATTTAATTTCAGTTTGGTACAGAGAATCCTTACCAATAGAAGCTGCCCCATCATATAGGGGTACAACAATTAAATATTCATACAAAATAACTATTGCAACACAAAAAGTGGGATCTCATATAAAAATGGTGCGAATACCATTCAGGGTGCTACCAATTAGTCCCATTATGAATATGCAGGACTTGGCAGCTCTTTGTGGCAATGAGACCACTGAAGATCTACAGCCCACTAACCCGTTTTCAGAAGAAAGGAAAGTGGAGACACCTTTAACTATGGCTTTACAGGTTCTACAGGTAAATTCTCTTGTTTTCATTACTATATTATCTTAGTGTTAAAAAAATTAACTACAAATCAAAGTAAAAAAAAAAAATTTATGCTTAACCCTTAATTTGATAGTGTTGAGAGTGACAAACAATTTAATTTAAAAAATGTACTGAACTTAGTTTAGAGATAAAAATGAGATTTTGACTGTTATGCTACAAAACCTCCATTGAATTAAGGGTTAAATATCTGTTCATCAAAAGAAAAAATACTTAATATATTTTACATATTCCAGAATCTTACTGCAAGAAGGAGTCCAAATTCATACATGATAACAAATACAAGAGGCAAAGTCGGTCGCTTCTGTCTGTTTAAATCGGCTTACAAATTAGGTGAAGATATAGTTGGGACATTTGATTTCTCTGTTGGCACTGTTACATGTATGCAGGTATGGTTAAATATATGATTGTTTCTATTTTACAACAAACAAAATTGCAATTTTACTATGATTAATTTTATTTTACGAATATCACAAATGTGAAAGCTAAGATGGATAATTGTTTGTTAGTTTCTTGCCTAAGCTGCTGAAAGGATTTTTATACAACAAGACAACATCTGGAAGAACATTACTATTTACTTTCTAGGCCAAAGTTAGTTATATTATAAACACTAAGGTTGTTATATCAAGCGTGACAATTTGCTTAGAAAGTTTACATTCATACAACACATTTGTTCTTGCAAGCAGTTTTAATATTAAATTCATAATGTCATATGACAGAAAACTCTTGATATTACAGGTTTCAGTATCACTCCAGCCGGAAGAAATATTAAAGTCAAAAACACCAGCCAAAAATGTCAATAAGGAATCAAGTAGCAGATCAATGACAGTGGCCAGGTATCATGAAGTAACACTTGGGTTGACTCATTCTCAGCTGATTCTACCAATACCTTTGCATATAACTCCAGCATTTGATGTTAATGAAGGTAAATGTGACTTTCAGTTCTATCTTCAAAGATTTGCGAAATAAAAAGTCTCTGGCCTTATTCCACCTAAATAAATACAAAATATTTATTTTATAAGTAAAGAATTATATTAGACATAGCTGATTAGACACCATAAGTGATGTCAGGAATAGGGTGGGCAAATGCCTACATGCTAGAGAATTGAAAACAACTATGCTATTTTACTTGGTTATAGAAACTATTTCTAGTAAGACCATAGTACTGGTATTTGCTCGTCAAATCATCCACTATCCACTCCCTCTTTGTAATATGAAAAACCTTACTGTCTTTCTCCTAATGTATATCAATATTTTAACCTAATGTCTGAAAATTATGAATAAATAAAAGAGTATTACTTTTCTTCTTACAGTGTCATTAAGATGGCGACTTCACTTTGAATTTGTAACAACAAATGAAAAGCTTTGTCCTACGCCTGAAGAAAAAGATTGGAATGCACCACTTAATGTGCCTATAGAGACAATGGTTTGGAATCTACCTGTAAAAATATATTCCACATTACCTAAGCAAATAACGCAACATTCAGTGAGGAGTGATGCTTATACTTTATGTATTAAATAAATTAAAATGTTTTTTTTTTAAATACAGTAGGGTGTGATAAAAACACTTTACAGTCAATGCCACTAATGACAGTAACACACAGTGGCATTTTATGTGCTAAATTGATATAAAATGAGTTGGTATGATTTTATTAAATGAAACAACATAATATATGTTAAGATTAAATTTAATTATACTTAAATGTATGTACATATTAAAATAAATATACTAAGTTATTCAATCATCTGCCAGTTCTTTGTCCCAATCTTTCATTTTTGCTCCCATCATAAAGTCATCTCTGAAAACACAAAATTAATTAATGAGGTATAAAAAATGTTACTCTGCAAGGGTGACATGAGTAGGAAATTTGGTAAAACATAAGGTTTGATGACAGAAAATTGACACAGGTAATATATGCCATATTATAAATAATTCAATGTAGATTCATCTCCCATTCCTTAACCTACTCCTGTAGGATCAACACACTGGGTTTTTAACTTCTATAATCCAAATAACTATCATCCGTCATCTCAGTCATTGCTCGCTTCTTGATCATGCAATCTATCCATCCAAATAATTCAATGTAGATATTAAAGAGTATCTGTTTTTATAACAGAACTAGTTTTTGCCCGCAACTCCATCCATGTTGAATTAAAAAAAATTAAGTAACCTAACCTATGTCTTCTTCCACCCTATCCTCTACATCTGTACCAAATTTCATTGAGATCCGTTCAGCCGTTTAGGCAACAAACTTAAACAAACATCCATCCATCTAAACTTTTACATTTATAATATAAGGGTGAGTTGCATCAAATCGCTGGTTATCGTAAAAGTTATAATAGGGTTACAAGTGCAAAAACATATTCTCACAGAGGTTTTATGTGTTTTTCGTTTTTACAATGGAAACATTTAAACCTGAATGTCACTAAAGTGTCAAGTTGGTGTCAAGAATGACATTTACGTAAATTAAAATGTTTGGAAATTCATGTTTCGCCGATTATATTTATGTATCATACGCATGGTATTTTATAGTGAAATAAACTTTTTGCCCACGGAGATGGAGAAAATGGCAAACTCTTGTGAAAATAAACTAGTTTGGGCCATTATTGAAACTGTATTTACTTTACTACTCAAATATGTAGCAAAAATGAAGCAATAAAATTATACAAATATAAATGCATCTTATTTATTTTCCATATTATAAATTGTCCTGTCAATGCATATTATAAATTAACCTTTTATGGAGGACATTTTTTTAAATAAGAGAAAAGGGACAAGCGCTGTTGCTATGGCCTTAGACACTCGAAATTTGTCCAAACTGAATGTTTGGCCAAATTTCGAGTTCCATCTTGGAAATCCATTATTTCCGAGCACGCAAGACTTTATTCTTCTGGATTACGTATAGGATAATAGTAGATATTTTCTTTTTCCATTACTTTTTCCATTATTTGTGCTTTTGAAGTTAAGAGCTTGTGACAGTTGACACTACCGAACTGACACTAACCGTAACGCTAACTATAACCGCCCAAAATCGGGCGGTTATGATTAGTGTCAAATATGACGTCATTTTGACCAACCCAAAACTGGTGTAGCGAATATCATGAACATCCGAAGACGTAACCATCGGGAATGTGCTGGTTAAGGTTTATAGTTAGTTAATGTAACTCATCCTTAGTAAATTTTAAGATTATTCCAAATATTACCATTTCAAATAATTTTAACTTTAACGGTAACCGGCGATATGGTGCAACTCACCCTTAGTATATAATTTTAATAACATAAAATACCTCAATGCACTCCATTTAGGCTTTTCTTCTTCTGGTTTAACTTCATTTTTCAATGACTTAGTCTGTTCATCAACTATTATAGATTTCGTCTGCCCCATAAGTGTATCCAAAAATGCACGCTTATCAAACTTCTTCAGTATTTTCTCCTTTTTGGCTTCTGTTAAATCTTTATCAAGCTCTTTATCCATTGTCTTTTGTTGATTTCTCACTGCATTGAATAACTGCACCACACCTTTTGTTGCTATTTTAGATAGAAGTCTTTCCCTGTCTTTTTCTAAGATATTTGGTTTGATCCGTACAGTAGGTTTTTCTTCTTTCTGAAATTTTGTGGAATATAAGCTATTTTTGCAACAATTTTAAAATGTACAATAGTGGAGATAATATTTTAACAAAGAACACAAAATCAGATACTTTTCAAATGCCACACAATTAACTTTGATCTACTTTAAGTAGATCTTTTTGAAATGCTAAACAATAATTAACAAAAAAAACAACATAAAACAATTAAGACACACAATAGAATTTAATTAAGCAAACCTTTTTCTTTTTAGGAGGCTCTACTGAAACTATTTCTTCTTTTTTAATCTCAGTTTTAATTTCCTCACTTTCACCAACAACTTCAAAAGCTGGCTTTTCTTCTTTTACTTTTTTTACAATTTCTGAATGTTTCTTAGCTCTTGATAATACCAGAGTTTTTTTAGTTTTTGGTTTATTTGTACCTAAAATCTTTGCTACAGAGTCAGCCCAGCCTTCATTTGTTAACATTACTCCTTCTCCTTTACTGCCACCTTCCTCTTCACTGTCACCTTCCTGATTGCTGCTACCTTCTTCATCACTACCAATCTCCTCATCGCTACTACCTTCCTCATTACTGCCACATTCTGCGTCATTGCCACCTTCTACCCCTCCCCCGCCTCCTCCATCACTGTCAGATGCTTTCGTAGATATTTGGTCTTCATCACTTTCGTCTCCTTCATATTCTGATTCGTTATCTGAAACTACACAAAAAGACTTGAAATTATTTTGTTATTACATGAATTTTTATAAACTAATGGCTACTTGCCTGTTATTTTAACGGCTGGTTTTGTCATGGCAGAAATAACCATTATATTTTTCTTGTAACAAATCTTAAATTTTCCTTTTCAAATTAATACTGCAACGCACTATTTGTTAGATGACACAAAAACACAAGCACGTGTTTGTCACTTTGACTGATGACATTGTCCTGACAGGTCGCTGAAGTTTTTTTTGGAAAACCAGAGAGAATGACTTGCAATGTTGTAACATGGAAAATTGAAATTTTCCTTATCGCTTTTATTGGCTTCAATATTTTTCATTTTGGATTGGGTGTGATCTTAGATACTTTGATTTTGAAATGCATTAAACAAAATTCTAACTCTACGTTATGATGTAAAAACAATCACTCTTTAAGAATTTAACTTTCAGTCCCAAACCCAACGATTTATTCCGACTAAAGGAACTTGGTAACACATTTAGAAACACTTCACCCAAAGACAGCAAAAAAACAAAAACCACGTAAAACAGATTAAAACCGATACTAAAACTTTAAAAATGTATTTGATTTTAGATATATTTTAACTTAATGTTTACCGCATTAGTTGATGTTATTTAAACCGATATGTTTAAGTTCTTTTGTTATACTACTTAATGCTATGCAAAAAAGGATGATTCTTTTTATTCGATAGGAATTAATTAAACAACTTGACTTGCGGATAACAAGATAACAACGGAACGTCAAGTATGTTTAAAAATAAAATACAGCTGATCGTCAAAGAGTGAAGTGTTCCATGTATTTGTTACGCTGGAAAATGGAAATCTTCTAAATATGGCGAATATTGCGAACCCTTTACCTTATATAACTAAAAGAGAATTTGGACTTATTTCTGATGTTCAATCTCAGTTGTTTTCTAAACGACTTAATGCTGCTAAAAATTTGTACCGTCGAGATTTAGTGTGTCATTTCGGATGTGTAAACGCTATCGAGTTTTCCAGCAATGGCGAATTACTTGTATCGGGTAAAATATATTTTATAATATATGTAGTAAAGCTTATGCTTACCGGTTTAAGACATTTATGTTTTTGTGACAATTTTAACAAAGATTGTTTAATTCATAGCTTTAGTGTCTAAGGAATTGTTGAATGACTAAATTTCGTTATCATAGCAACAATACATATTGATAACAAATTGATACCGCATAACACTGACACAGTTATGTTATTTATCGCAATATAAATGAAAAATATCATTCCATATAAAACAAAGATATTTCTAATCATAAAAAAAAAATTTCCTTATTTCTTAAATGGAATTATAATCTCTTCTTTGTAGTCAAAATTTCAAGAATAAATCATAGTAAAACAATGTAATTTAATTCATAGTTCTTTTGTGGCAGTAAGAGAGTGTTAAAGACTGACTCCTTTTTTATTAATTAGAAAACAATTTAACTCAATATTGAAGGATATTAAAAATATTATTGTTTGATCAGATATTTACTTTAATGGTAATCTCTCCAATGTTCCTGATACAATGTCTTGTGTCTACTCATATTCAGATTGTTGTCACATGTCTTCTAGGTGGGGATGACAGGAGGGTGATGCTATGGCAATTTGGACAGGCCATCCTGGATCATGGGAAGCCAGAGGCAATGAAAGCGGTCCACCAATCAAACATATTTTGTCTTGGAATCACAAGTGATAACCAGAAAATTTATTCCGGTGGTAACGATGACATTGTAAGTGTAAAGCTTATCCTTTTTTTAGCTTTTATCTATGAAGAAAAAAGAATAGTTTTCTTTGTATATGTATCATTTAATCATACTTCATACTTATATTATAAATGTGAAAGTTTAGATGGATGGATTGTTAGAGTTTGTACCCTAAACGGCTTAACAGATTTTGCTGAAATTTGCTATAGATATAGGGGATAGTCTGGAAGAACACATAGGCTACTCACTTTTGTTTTTGTTTAATTCCACGCGGGCGGGTTCGCGGGCGAAAGCTAGTGGTAGATAAGGAAAAAGATTGGCAGTTAAAGACTGCTTAATCAACCACTAATTTAATCTGAGTAAAATAATAAGACTTATTTTCTACAGTTACACATCTTAATTTTTTATTTTAGTTTAGTATATTGCTCATAAGTTGTTAAAAAAAAATCTGTTGAAACAGGTCATCGTGCATGACCTCGAAAGTAAATGCCCTTTGGAAGTTCTGCAACACCAGAGGGCAGTGTGCAGCCTCAGTATAGACCCATTCAATGAACGAGTGGTGTCTACAGCGGGGAATGATGGCCGCTTACTGCTGTTTGATACAAGACAATCTGTTCATGGTAAGATCTTCGTCGAGATTACATTAATATATTAATTTCTTAAAGAATATGCTTTGTATTCAGTAAATATCACAATGTAGGATGTGCAATATTGTGTTGATAGTTTAAACAATATTTTGTATTGACCTTTTCGAAATTTAAATTTATCTCTTTATGCATTTTAAGTTGATTCTGAAGATTAGGCACAAGATACGAATAAATAAACACATAGATACAGCTTTTTCATTATTATGGATTATTCTGAATGAGATACGCAGTTGCCCGAAAACTACCTTATTTTATATTCCTGTTTAACATTCATTGTAAACGGGATTGTGCGATGTTTATTAAATATTTTCCTTGTTTTGTTCTTTATAGCTGTTTACTAAATGTTAAGTTTTGTTTTGCTGTGGAGTATTAAACTTTGAAAATGTTATTTCTTCATTTAAAAGTGTTTAACTAATTATGTTATTAACTTAGTTGAGTTAGTTGACAACCTCGAGAAGTACAGTCAGCTTTGTTTGCGGTATCCTAGTTACAGAAAAATTCGCAATACACCTCCTGACCACCTTCAACAACATTCAATAATACAAATTAACAATAAGAATGATATTTTGATAAAATAAAAATTAATATCTATACAATAAAACTTATGTGTTTTGTATATCTGACTTATTGTTAGATACTATACAATTTATTGTTTGTTCAACTGTTACCTTCTTAATGTAGAGATGTTTCTTTGCCTCTGTCGCGTAGAGTCAATGGTGATTTCGCGGAGTCGCAAGGCGTTCCACGGCGTTATGTATCATCCGCAACAAGTGGGCATGTTGGTGTCGGCGAACGCCCGCGGCGGCGTCGCTCTGTGGGATCTGCGATCACCCAAACAGTAAATTTTTAATTCTGATAAATAGGCTAGGATGGAATGATGGATGGATGTTTTTTAGAGTTTATAGGCTAAACGGCTGGACGGATCTCAATGAAATTCGGCACAGATGTAGAGCATAGTCTGGAAAAACACAAAGGCTACTTTTTATCCCGGAAATAGTTACCGTTCCCATGGGATGCATTTTTTTTATGCTTACTCGATAATTCTGCAACGGTTTAACATATGTTATTGAAATTTAGCACAGATATAAAACAAAGTCTGGAGTACACGTAGGATAAGGTTCATCCCCAAAAAATGACCGATTCCCAAGAGACACGTAGTTTTTTGTTATTTACATATTTCGTCTGTTTTCTAATAGCGCGCGGACGAAGTCGCTGGCAACAGCTAGTAATTTAATTATTCCCTCAATAGCCCGGTCCTTCGCTACTTCGGTAACAACGGCACTTGTCAGAACAGTATGAGCGTCCGTTTCAACTCCGCGGGTACGCATATCCTTGCATTGCGGCGTCGCTTAGCGCCCGTGCTGTACGCGGTGCACTCGCCCGAACCAGTCGCGGAGTTCTACCACCAAGACTATTACAACTCGTGCACTATGAAAAGCTGCTGCTTCGCCGGCAAAGGCGACCAGTTTGTGCTCTCCGGATCTGATGACTTCAATCTATATATGTGGAAGATACCAGATAGTGGAGAGTTTGGTTAGTATCACATTCTAAATGGTTTTAAATATTTCAGAATCCATGAGATGTATGCTTGTAAATTTAAGAAGACTTAGGGCCTGTCCCACCAAAACGAAAATTGTCTGATAACAATCCAACGTGTAAAATATGCGATTTCCTTCGCAAATTTTACATTAAATTAGTAACTAAACCCATATAACTTCTGCATTGTAGTTCAATAAACTTAACACAAACTGTTGTTCTAGTTATTTCATAGTAATAACATTAATTTTTAATTGTGGGAGCTCAGGTTACCATTCTAAGAGCCCGTCCCACCAAATTGTAAATTGTTTAATAATCCAATGTGTACAAAATGTGATGGAAATATTGGATATTGTTACCTTATCTGACAGTGACGTCATTTTTAAGCTATCTGCTCTATCAGCCAGTGGTGGGACAGGCCCTTACTGAAATTAATGGAATATATATATTTGCAGATATGTTAGTGGAGCCCCCACACATCATATTGTACGGGCATAGGTCGATAGTGAATCAAGTTCGCTACAACTCACAGTATTGTCTCATCGCGTCTTCAGGTGTCGAGAAAATTATAAAGGTAGGAATTTATTTCAGTCTTTTTTTAAATTACTCGTTTCTTGTTAGTAACAATGTTGTGTTTAGGTGTGGTCGGCATTGGAGTACCCGCAGATGCGCGGAGCTCTGTTAGAGGAGGCGCAGGGCTCCGACAACCCGCGAGAGATCTACAGCCACGAGGATTATGTCTCCTTAGTACATCATAGTGGACAGGTAATTTATAAATACAACATACTCTAACACTGAATAGCACTGTCTCTCTTCCATAAATACATAGAAAGATATCGCACAAAAATTACGTTTAAAAAGAAATAAAACACATGAAATGTGTAAACGACTTTATTGTGACCTACATTCGTTGATTTGTGGCAGTTTTATTCATGATGAATATAAACAGTATGTATGTAAATATATACTACTGCTTACAGTCGGGGTTAGTCTGCATGCGAATGCTGATAACTTAGACATAGAAATAAATTTCTAATACATCGTTATGCAAGTACAATAGGTAACTAGCTATCGCCCGTGACTCCGTCCGCGTGGAAAAAACCGAAAGCAATGCCGTAATAAATGCCTATGTGTTCTTTCAGACTATCCTCTACATTTATGCTAAATTTTATCGAAATCCGTTCATCAGTTTTGGCTACAAACTCTTAATGTAATCTCGAATTTATAACATTAATAAGATTTTTTTTTTAGTATATATCGCACAACTACGCGGAGCAGTCGACGGTGGAGGACCAGCGTATGATGGCGTTCTTCGACTCGCTGGTGCAGCGCGAGCTGGAGTGCCTCGCCGCCGAG